GTGGTGGCGTCACGGAATCGCTTTTGAGACACACCAAGCGACTCTTATTCCCCTTCGGGTTAGAGCGACCACCGTCATAACTATCTAAACACGATGCCGTTGATTCGAATAATAAACCCAAATGACAATATGTGCAAAATAATATTATTATTTTGATTAGTTATGATTCTAAAAATAATTTTTTTAAGATGGGTGCCTGTTTAGACATTTCTTAGGTCATTAGTGTTTGATTTTGTTAAATAAATTGGTTGCCTTAGGTGGGATTTAATGTATATTTTTTATGAATATTGGACTTTGTTTAAATTCCTCCGATAGATTTGTTCGTTTTTCGAAATCTCTGTGGCTGTTTGGCCTTGCTTTGGTATGAGTTCATCGCCTAATGAAAAGCTCTTAAACGGCCTGCCAGATTCGTTGTTTGATGATTTTGATATCGATGCCATTTCATCATATCCTGATTTGGAAACCGATATTGACCTTGATACCTTGATTCTTAATTACGAAAGTCAATTCCCGGACAATGAATCAAAAGATTCAAATAGCGTGAAAAAGAACAGCACTCTTGCCAGCCTTTTGATGACTAATCCTCTTACTGAATATGTTCCACCCGCTCCTCATGTACCATTGGGCAGCAGTAGTGTGATTGAACCTAGCTGTCGTAAGCCTCAATCTGTTAGCATCCTGGCGAACGAATCTCACCCGCAGTTAAAAAGCGCCTTGATTCAAGAAAAAATAATTCAACCGGTTTCTCAGGCTGTGTCACGTGACTTATTTGACAGCCCTTATTTCACTGATGGCCGCTACGGACAAGATTCCTTGGATGGAATGCCGAAGAGCGGTACAAATTCACTGGACTCTCATGAATGCAGATCCGTCAACGCAAAGCTTCAAATGGCGAATTCATGTCCACAGAGTAGTTGCATTTTATTTTTTAATTGTTGACCTGATGTTTAGATCAACTTGATGACAATAAAGGTATCCGGCGTTCTCCACATAATGCCATTGAAAAACGCTACCGTCAAAGCATTAATGGAAAAATTAATGAGTTGCGGGATATTCTAAATGCAAGTTCAGGGGACGATGCAAAGGTAAATTTTATCGCAGTAGCTGTGAAATACGATTTGGTTGCGTTTTTACAGCGTAATCTGCGCGTTTTATTTATAGGCAAATCTAGTCGTTTCTTCTTTTTTCACTTAATCATTTTTACTTTATGGTAATGGCACAAAACTTCCTGTTTTTAATCCTTTAATGACCAAATTTTGAAAATTTGTCTATATTTTAGTTCCTCTTGTCTTTTTTTACCTTTGTCGGTTCATGAGTGCTTGCTTACCCTATTTTTATTCCCCAATGGGTTGCAGAAGTAGGTGAATTAAACGTAGGACATTTATACTTATGCCCACTAATCTATAACACCATCATATGGTTTCTAGATTAATACCCATCATATGTTTGGAAGTCAGCCACCTTCAGAATTGTAAACAACAGTGGATGGTAATGTGTAGCTAGAATGTTGTAAGTCGAGTTATTGGTCAATACATACTTGTTCGAAGAATTGCGATTTTGAATAATGTTTTCGGTCTAATTTTTGCTGTCAGAATCGTTTTATTTCAATCTTAAGACATTTTTATGACGGAAGTTAGCATGTAGCATTATGGCAAACCGTCATTCATCATCAAACTAGGGTTTCCTTGTTTCCTAAGCCTCTCTCTTTGTTTGCGTTTTTATAGTTTGTGTCACATTCGGAAATCCTTATATGATATCTTCTATTTGTGCTAAGTGTGTTTTAAGAATAGAGCCACTCATATGCGATATGAATCCAGTCTCAAGGTCGTTTATATCACGCCACCTTCTTATCGAATATTCAGTCAACCTTGATAAGTCTTGATCATTTTAACCAATGGCTTTGGAGTGTTAACCAAATCTTGCTTCAAGGAACTTATCGTCTCATATAGTCATTTTTATTTGAAACAAAAATACTTTAAAATTCTTATTTGGTAAAACCCACTTAATTGTTGTAAAAGAGGATGTTTGAGGCTTTGGGGCCATGTCAAATGCAATCCTATAAATATGTGATAAAGCAGCCACACTTTTATTTTCTAGCGATGGCCACCACAAAGCCATAGCCTTTTAACAAGGTGGCAACATCATTTTGACTCTTACCTGAATTGATGACTAAACAACGTTATAATTGTTTTGTTATCCATGTCTGTAGCTATGATTTATTACTTCGCTGTGGAACCTTTTCAGAATTTCCTAAAGACCGGTTTTAGCTGACGTCGACCAAGGTGCTGTATCGAAATATCCAAATGCTATTCCAGCTGAGAGATTAGGACCTTTTGGATGCTTCAGGCCTTCCTTTATCTAAGCTTATGTTCCTACAAAATCCCCAAATTTAATTGCTTTTACCTGCAGACAAATAAGTCAGCGGTTCTTCGTCGAGCTATTGACCGCATTCGATACCTTGAAAAAGAAAATGAGTGCCTTCGAATGGAACTCAACATGTACAAAAGTGGATATGCTCTTGTTGATGGTAGGTAACCCACTGGTCTCTTTTAAAGGATTTTTATTTACCGATAAGTGAAAAGGTAAACAGCGATTGTGCGACTGTTTTGGAATGTTTGATGTTATACTTTGCCAGCACTCCAGCCTTTACCACAATTTAAGTTCACCAATACGTTCTAAGGCTAGTGTCTGTCGCCGAATAAAGTTGTAGTTGTCGCCTCGGCATTTGTCTAGCGTAGGGAAATTTCCATCGAACCAATAACAGAGTCACATCTCCTTAGCCAGTTTCTTTCCCCTTAATCAATTTTTTTTATTCTGCGAATATTTGGTGTATATAACAACAGATTTGTTAACATGAATTTAATTTTGCGCATATTATCATTTGGGTTTATTATTTGAATCAACGGCATCGTGTTTAGATAATTATGACGGTGGTCGCTCTAACCCGAAGGGGAATAAGAGTCGCTTGGTGTGTCTCAAAAGCGATTCCGTGACGCCACCACACATGACAGAAGCTATTCAGCAGCTTCAACCCCCGTCAAGAATACCTTTACAAATGCAACAACACCAGAATTCATGGAGTCATCTCATGAGCCACCTCCCCACCGGTTCCTCCTCCGAGGGCAGCTCTCCTCCCTCTATCAAAGGGGTTCCGTCAACGATTTCTGTCTCGTCCTTCTCTCCGTGTGACGACATCTCAGATACTTCCTCACCTGAGTACCCCTATTTTTTGGGCATTGGCAGTAAACGTCACGGTGGGTTAGGCAGAGAAATGTGGTTTTCTGGTTAATTTAAATTCACTCTGGTATTCTCCTCTAGGTTTCGTAAATATTGATTATTCCACCCCGTATGTCTTTTTTTCTTTTACTTTACCTTCTTAGCAGTTCCCGCAAAGCCAAAATTAAGTAAACTCAATTGTAATTTTCGAGGAATGGCGTTATTTAGGACATTTTTTCACCCAAGTTATTAGGAATACTGCGAAGCCTTCGAATCTTAGTCCCGTGTTTGCGTACTATAAACTGTACTGTAAACTCATTGAAATGAGTTAGTAGGTTAATGTTGTTTTATTTAGCGGATAACCAACTTTTTCACCAAACGGGCCCATCGAGTGTCAAGATGGGAGCCTACTATGCACCTAATGAATTAAATGCAAGAGATGATTTTCCCATCCTTCCCCCCCATCCGACGACAACATCCGGCACGGCAGAGACCTCAATGGCACAACGCTGCACGGATCCTCCCATCACCGCCGTCAACACCACCACAATTTACACAACTGAGCCCTATGAATATCCACAAACACCACAGGCTTTCGGTAACGAGAGTAAATTCACTCGTGTCAGTCTCTTCTTGGGCTCGTTCTGTCTCTTTATGTTCAACCCTTTCATAATTATGACCGGTGACGCGAATCAGGGAGGAGCCAATTGTAAGTCTCGTCAGTATTAAACCGTCCACTTTTCTAATGATGACAGTTGTTTTGCTAAAGGCAGATAAGTTATTTAATGGTCAAAGGAAAACCATGTGATTTGCGTATGTCAAGATCTTCAAGGAATTGTTAAAACAGGTGAAAGTCTAAAATTGCTGACGCACACCAAGTACCCTAATAATTTTGGGTCGTTTTACATGGCCTTTGTAATTTGCTTGTTGGTGGCACCAGAGCCTATGAAATTACCTGATTTTACGAAGGCTCAAACGTTTTGTCTAGGTACCACCTATACAATGATCCAAGCTTATTAAAATTACGTTTGATATACGTTGACATCGACATGGTCAGTCAAATCCCTGTTTTGAATGTCCTCATTTGCCTTTATGTATTTGGCATATGTCTAGCCGCTGGAATGCCAGTGCGTCGTCTGATCTCGGCTCTATCCCTAAGCGTGCACCACTACGATGATGGGGGTGGAAGCTCCATGTTGGGTCCTCTATTGCTCTCAATTATGTATGCTGCTCAGTGGATTGTGGCTATTCTCCTTTTCTTGCTCGCCAAACCTCACGATCTTCGTTCCTTCTTCCCATCCATTCTTGGAGGATCTATTGGTTACAGAAAGCGTGGATTGATTGACAAACTTCCAGGAAGAAATCTTGCCCTGAGACACTGGAGGCAGTCTGAAGAGGACATGAGAAATGTGAGTTAATTGAAGTTGCTGCAGCAAGACTGTACGTGATACCTACCTCCGCCTTGATATCGATCTGTTGTCGTCGTTTCATTTAGATCTACTCCGTTCACCACTGATTAGCACCATCCTATTCTTACTGCCCTGTTGCAGACAGAATATAGTCTTGTATCAGTCCATGGTGCTTTAGCTTGGTCACCCATCCACCCCCATGAAATTTCACCAATTACTCGATTTTATCCCTCGTGGCTAAAATTATTTTCCGTCATTATATTCGTTTGGTCACGTGTGTACTATCATTAAGGACACCTAGTATCGACTGCTATTGTCAAAATTGTCGTATTTACTTTTCCCGATTGGCAGATTCTCTGCCCAAATTCCAAACTTTTCCTTTTAGGGGGCATGGCACAGTGCTGGGAGCCAACTGAAGGCGTCTTTGACTGCACTCGGAGAATCTCCTTGTTTTAGTAACGGCGTCGTGTCTGCTTTCTGCGCTCGTGTGAAGGCCTATGCCGAGGGCATCCGACTTGTGTTGCATCGCCTGCCTCAGTTGCTCTGGCTAGTGTCTCGCAAATGTCACATCTCGTGTAAATCTCAGGCGCACCGAAATGAGCTGCCTACTGTGTCTCAACTAAGGCGACGACTGCTTGACCTTAGGTATCTTGGTAAGCACGCCCACACAAAGCGATAGCGTGAAGTTTACGAGTGACACACACCTCAGGGTTATGCAATTCAATGGTTTTCTGTTGTGGGCTTGTAAAAAGTAAGAAGCACAAAAGTCATAAGTAGATGAACACAAGGGCTTCGTCCCCACCAATTTACATGTAAGACAATCCATCGCTTAATTTGAGTGACTGTTTCCCAATCGCTCGTGGTGCGTGCTTGCGTGTTCGTGTCGAGCGAATTGAGCTGTTATGCAAACGGATCGCGGAGGAGACACACCCATCATGTAATGCTGTAGAAATGTAAAGAAAAATGATATTTCACGCTAACTGTCACGAAAAGCGGGTGCTAGAAGGAAATTTGCGTGACGTTGCTGGGCGTTTTGCTTGGTAGCATCGCACGTCGTGCTTGGTATTGTATAGCAAAATAACACGCAAGTGGTTTGCACTTGGTGTTGGTTTAATGAACGGTAATGCAAGTGGGTTATTTTCAGACAGAGTGTTTGCTGCTCTTATTGGGTTTGAGGGCAAGAGTTTTCCCACTACGAGTTATTTCAGGGCCTGTTGCCACCCAATAGATGGATTTGAATCTTGTCAGCTCACTGGGCTGAAAAGCATGACTGCGAAGCAGATTGACCCGTTTGCATGAAGGCACCATGGAGTCAGCATGAGGCTGCGAAATGCCAGTCTTTAGCATAATTCCGCGAGGTATGTAGACAGCGGTAAAGCAAACAGATAAAGTCTTGCGTCAGTGAAACGAAAGTGTTGTAAACAATGCATGTTTTGACTAAACTTCGGTTCCTTTGTGCAGATACACATCCTGATACAAGTTGTGTTAATAACAACAAAGAGAGCTCGGAACACGCACTACATTGTAGTAATGGCTTAAAGCAATTAACAAAGAATTGGCCGGAGGTAGACATAAATGGTGAGTAATCAGCAGAAAAAAAATTACTGCGCGAACGAATTCCGAGTGCTGCTCAACGAGAACCAGAAGAGCAAACGAGCGGTTTAAACAAAAACAGCGTGATGAATGTTGCGGCTGCTTAGTTGTGAAGACAGCGGTCGCCATCAGTTTTGATTAACGAATTTCCATCAGCATAGCACCTACGTGGAGGCCGTAATAAGTAGCACGTAGTGGTTTATTTAACAAGTATGTGGTGATGGTGGTGGTGGGGATTGTCCCTTAAAATTGAAAGGTGCCCTTTTTTACATTTGTTCATGCTATTCAGACAATTGGATGCATGCAGCCCAACTGTTAGGAGCCGGTTAATTAAACACTTAAACGCAATTGTTCTAACTTTATTGTCACTCGCATAGCGTCGAACTCGCGTAACATAGAGTATGTGTGTACGTGATGATTTGCGTCCACTTCGAATGGGATCTGCGGTGACTTTGCAAACAAACTCAAATCGGACCAACCTAACTCAAAGTAGTGTAACTTGCATTAGTCCTAACGACTTTGTCATTCATACGCACACGCACACACACACGCACGCACGATTTTCTCTGCAGCATTAGCAACACGAATGCGATGTTTCTTAAAATCAGTGGTGCTTAAGAAGGCGATAGGAATGAAAAGTAGGTAAACAGCACTTTATTTCCTGTAACTTGGGTTTCATTGTGTGAGTGGTTTAATCTGTGCCAAGACAACGAAGTCCCTCATGCACAGTAGTCCACCAAAAGACGGTGTACTGCGTGTTAAAGAAATACCAGGCTCCCAGTAATTGCACGGTAAATACCTTAGACACCTCATTGGAGTCGAATAAGAGAAGCTGAAGTTGGATGGAAGTAGGTAGGCTGTTACCTGAGTTCGTGGGTTACTAGCACTTTTGGTTTTATTGCATCTAAGGTATCGAGCGCTGCTACATGAGATTTTATTGCCGATATCTTGTGACTAGACTTTGTCCACCTTTCTGACAACAATCCAATGCCACAAGGCCGTCCGACCGTTGCCGATATGCCGACATACGAGTGTCTCCATGTGTTGCGTTTGATGTTCGCTTGTCTAGAGGACTTTGTTGTTGATTGGCGTGCGTCAGTGCAGGGCGATGGCTCGGTCGATTTGGCAGAACTAACCCGTCTGGGCATGGTCCTCGCGCTGTCGGTGAAACGTTTCTTCGGTGTGAATTGGCTTGGTGTAAGTTTTTTTTGGCTTAAATTTAAGTGACTGCATGAGTTGTTGAGACGTGGGTTGACCGAGGTGGCATTGGCAGTCTGATGTTACGGTGCCGCTTTGATTGGCTGGTGGTCCGTATTTTCTATTTTGTCTGGCGTCCTTTTGCAGTCTTTCTGGCAACTCGATGACTCCGCACTCATGGAATGTGTGGTGATAGTTGGCAAAAGCTGAACCATGTACTCCCTCATGTCATCATCGCAAGTAAACATTGTATTATTCAAAGAACTTGACAAGTTACGCTCCAAAAAGTTGTTTTTATTAATAGAATTACGAACTATGCGTGAGGTCTTGCATCGTCATAGTCGTTTTTCGTTAATTTCTTTCTAAACTAGTTTCGGTTGTTGTTGTTGTTGATTGCAAATGTCTAGTTTGAACATTTGTAGTCCCTCAAGCTGACGACATGATTTTTGGATACAAATCAGGATTTGATGTGTTATGCTGGTTCATGAAACTCGAATGAAGGCGGTTTCGAAAAATTCCATAGAAGATTATGAACGTCCATCGCCGCCGATGGTTTGCTTTAACAAGCGGTCAAATAAGTTGTGCTTGAGATGCGCATTGCCAACATGCAGTCACTGGGTTGAATTGAAACGTCTCGAATCATGCGAAACCGCAAAACCGAGCTTTTTCACTGGTATAAGCCATTTCAAGTGACTTCTAAGTGTTGTGTGTGTGTGTGTGTTTGTGTGTACGTGACACAGTTAGACTAGCTGCAATCTCTCGCGCAGTTGTCAGACCACGACTCGGTTGATTAGTGGCTTTGGTTTGGTCAATATCAACCTCAGTTGGTCGTCCAGAGCGTTGGCCGTCTGTGAGTGACCAGTCTCGAAAACGGGGTCTTCTAAACTGTGTCTATGTTAAGCAATCAACGCCATAACATTCACCTATCACCTTGGGCCTGTAAAGGATTAGCGCTTCATCATATTGTGTGGTAAATGCAGACTTGTTTGCTCGAATTGGCAGACGACATCTGCGGCGTGGGGCCTTGATCATGTGTTTGAAGCAGCCAACCCATTTCCACGTCGTGAACTCAAGAACATTGCTTCGATCGATACTCGAGGACTCATGGACGTTGGTGTTCGGTCACGATTTGATTTTGACTAAATAACCGTGTAAAACGTTGTGGCTATCAGGTGAGTTGGGAGTTGTGTCTGCATCATCGTGTCGTCTTCTCACCACCCTATTTGCAACTACACTCCCTACTAGTTTTCTTCTTACTTAAGGAAAAATATGTGATGTGTTAGCAACTTTGGTTTTTGCATTTCGTGTTAAAGGTGACAAGTCGCGTCCATTGAGTAGCCAATGCGAAACCAGGTTTGGGAATTTGTCGGAAGCCGAGCCGAACCTCGCGGCGACTTCTAGTTGAACATGCGTGTAGAGGTTGGCAAAAAATATCGGATCGCCGATACCCCTGATCCCTTGACTGACGCTAGATCTCGCCCCTTGCCACGCTGACGAGGACAAGAGAAGACTTAGTGCGGAGGGCAGACGGGGCTGTCCGTAGGGTGCCGTGGGTGACACCCACTGAGTGGCGTGGTTAGTGTACCAGTGTAAGCAATGACGAAATTCTAACCCTCGATGAGGCGTTTCGGGGAACGCTGGGTCCCCCCACCCCAACAGATTGCTTTGTAGTGGCGTGTGGTCTACGCACTACCTTACAACCCTCTAGTTAACAGCCCGTAACAACCCGAGAATGGAGAGAAGTGAGGCGACCGTGAACACGACCGTTTATTAACGTCACGCCAGCCAAGTGTGTCTTAGTGTGTGTGAATGAGTGAACGGATGACGGCCATCGGATACCGTAACCAATGGAAAGAAGATGAGTCATTGTCACCGTGACGTCGGTAGCCAGGGTTCACTCAGACGCGATCGCCGTTAATCCGCTACAGCTTCCTAGCCAGTTGGGAAGTCTATATTGGAAAACAGTGGTTGCCAATTCAGTAGTGCGTGCCTCCTTTGAGAATCGGACATACGTGCCTTTACTTTTTTTTGTACAATTGACAAAGCTGGGTCTCTTCGCTATGATTTGCTATTATAATGGTGTTTTTTTATTGACAGTCTCACATTCTCTGTGTTCCACTTGATGTTGATAGTTTGGCTGTTTTTGCTAACTTGTATCATTCTTTGTGACTGCACGTCAAGTATTTCACTAAATGTCAATTATTTAACCGTGAATTACGCATTTGGTTTCGGCTGGGGCTTCAGAGTTCGGTGTGTGTTTCGAGGTTATGTGGTTACAGTTGAGTTGTCTGAATCGGGTGAGGGGTTGTTGTCTCTTCCATTCCACTGCGTGAAGGCACGTGGTTGTTGAGGGCGGTTGTCGGGATGACGAGGCTGGTGATTATTTGTTCAATTGCCTTGCAGAACCTTCTTCTTCGGGCGACTCGGCACCTGGCAGAGGAGTTAAATGATGACTGCGTTCTGTGGCTCGGTCCGTCGACTGGACCAGTCATGCGCTTGTTATTATCCAGCACTCCACTTGATTTCTCGCACCTGAGAATCCACCCAGGGGAGGAATTCGGTATCTTCACTTCTCCTCTTAACGCCCATGCATTAAAATTAGCCTCCAATTCCCTTGTTGCGGACGAGGTCAACAGCGAGATTTGCGAGGCAGTCGTCGCGAAGGCTCTCGAGGTATGATTCGTGATTTACGGCGGCACCGGTTTATTGCTGAACTTTGAGGCACTTTGGAGGGTGGAATGGGTTTTTGCTTCTGAATGATACGGAAACGGTCACGGTGTTATCAGTTCCATCGACATATAAGATACGCTTTGTGAACTGTGAGACATAGTGAAGGCACCTCAATTAGCGCAAGAGACCTTGGAATGAAAAATTCCGATTCCTGCTAACTTAGCATCATCTTTGCCCCACTATTATCGTTTGTTAAAACTGTCCTTAGTTTACTGGTCGCATTGGGATACGACGCATATC